AAGAAAAATCCGAAGTTGGGACTATCTTCCAAAAGTTCCGCAAAATGATTCAAACCCAATTTTCCTCAAAAATCCAAATTCTAAAAACCGATAATGCTAAAGAATATTTCCGGTCTGAACTTGGAACATACCTTTTCCAAGAAGGGATTGTCCACATCAATTTCTGCGTAAACACACCCCAACAAAATGGCGTGGCTAAAAGAAAACATCAGCCCTCTTAGAGGTTACCCGCTCTCTCCTATTAGCCAACCATGTTCCTAAACACTACTAGGGAGAAGTTGTTATGACGTTGGCATATTTGATCAATTGCATGCCCTCTCAAATCCTCACTTTCCAAACACCACACCAAACACTCTTATCCACCTATCCTCATCTCAAACTCATGTCCCATATTCCTCGAAAAGTGTTTGGGTGTATAGCCTATGTCCACCATACACAGCCAAACCGAAGCAAACTTGATCCGCGAGGGTTTAAATGTATATTTCTTAGGTATTCTCCTAACCAAAAAGGGTTCAAGTGCTACTCTCCATCCACAAACAAAGTATACAACACCATGAATGTTACCTTCTTTGAAGAACAACCATTCTATGCCAAAACCGACATTTCGGGGAGAGAGTGTCGAAGAATACCGGTTCCTAGCATACTCAGACACCACAAATCAGCCCTCACTGTCACAAATTAGCTCTCACCTGTCACAAATCAGCCCTCAACTGTCCTCTCACCTGTCTCAAGCCAGTCCTCACCAATCTCAAATTCACCAGTCTCAAACTTGTCATCGGCAGAAAAAAGTTAGCCTATTGATACTGAAAACACAATTCCAAAAGATTACATTGTGTATACAAGGTCACAGAAACCTACTGTTGAGCCAATGCACTGTCAATTACTTCTCCAGGGTCACAATCGGCAAATGATCATACAGGTAGTAATCCTTCCTTCTCGTATAATACTAAAAAAAAATTATCCAATAACTCAGCAAAGGGAAACGGAGTATAGAGCTTTCACTACCAACTTGGATGAGATAAAAATTCCCAGAAACATACAAGAAGTTGTTTATTAGAAGGAATGGAATGAAGCAGTAAACGAGGAGGTCAAAGCCCTGAAAACCAATGGCACATGGGAAAATATGAAACTACCAAAAGGAAAGAAGACAGTTGGGTTGGGTGTAAATGGGTTTTCTCCATAAAATACAATGCCGATGGAAGCATTAGCAGATATAAGGCCAAGTTGGTGGCCAAGGGTTTCACTCAATCATACGGAATTGACAACTTCAAGACCTTTGCACCGGTCACCAAACTTAACTCCATACTTGTGCTATTGTCTATAGCCGCTAACCTAGACTGGCCTCTACACTAGTTGGACATCAAGAATGCTTTCTCAAAATGGAAAACTAAAGGAAGAAGTCTATATGGATGTGCCCCCAGGACTGGAATCTGGCAAAAATCAAGGGAAGGTGTGCAAATTGTTAAATCATTATATGGTTTAAAGCAATCCCCACGTGCTTGGTTTGACATGCTCACTTAGGTACTAAAGAGACATGGCTTCATTCAAAGGTAAACTGACCACACAATGTTTACCAAACACTCCTCGTATGGTCGAATTGTTGTGATGATCATGTATGTGGACAACATCATCATTACCGGAGATTTTTTTCAAGAGATCGCCCGTCTAAAAACAGTTCTTGGAAGACAATTTGAAGTCAAAGATCTGGGCTGTTAAAATACTTCCTAGGAATGGAGATCGCCATATCAAAGAAAGGAATTGCCGTATCACAGAGAAAAAATACTCTTGATCTTCTCTCTGAAACCGGACTTTTGGGATGCAAGCCAACAAGTATTCCAATGGAACCCGCCAGCAGGTCACCTCAACCAAAAGAAGATGCAAAGCTAGTGGATAAAGGGAGATATCAACGGTTGGTTGGAAAATTAATATATCTCGCCCATACAAGACCGGATATTGGATATGCAGTCGGAATGGTGAGCAGGTTCATGAATACTCCAACTAAGCAAAACATGGATGCAGTGTTCCAGATCCTCCACTATCTCAAGAAAAAACAAGGATACGGACTCTTCTTCAAAAAAACAAATAAGAGAGACCTTCAAATCTTCATTGATACCGACTCGGGAGGTTCAAGAACCGATGGAAGATCCCCAACAAGTTATTGTACCTTTGTTTGGGGAAATTTGATCACCTGGAGAAATAAGAAACAACAAGTAGTTTCCAGAAGCAGTGTTGAGGCTGAATTCAGGGCCATGTGCCATGGGACACGAAGGAATTTGGATCAAAAGGATGCTCAAGGAACTAAGGCTTCTCAACAAGGAACAATAAAGCTCCTATGCAACAAGGCAGCCATAGAAATTGCGAAAAACCCGATGCATTGCAATAGAACGAAACATGTGGAGATAGATCGACACTTATCAGAGAGAAGATAAAAACAAGAGCCCTTGAGATTTCCTTCTTGCCATTTGAACTTCAAGTAGTAGATGTCCTTACTAAAGCTTTACCCAGGGGCAAGTTCGAAAAAATGATAAACAAGTTGGATATGATCGACCTCCATACCCAACTTGCGGGGGAGTGAAGATTTTCTGGAGCTATCAATAATTGCATCAAAGATCTCGGGAATCCTGTCAATTAAGGGTGTTATCCCTGTTTTTAGAGATTTTCTCTATCCTTTCTTTAGTTGAAAGGATTCTCCTTATCCTTTCTATAGTTGAAAGGATTCTCCTTATCCTTTCTTTAGTTGAAAGGATTCTCCTTCTTTTGTATAAATAGCCTTGCTTTGTGTTTTTTAATCAACAAAAAAATGTATGAAAAGCCTTTGAGGCTCAATTTTGTTTGGTTCCTAGATTGACAGAATATTTACAAAATATTTCCTCTTAATTACTTGATTCACTATCACACCCCCGCAGTCGAAGCGGAAGATGGGCGAACAGTGAGATTGGACCAAAAATCGAAGAAAAGAGAGGAGGGTAATCCTTTTGTGAATATATCAGCATATTGCGAAGAAGAAGGAACATGGAGAACACAAACTTGACCAAGGGCCACCTTTTCACGTACAAAATAGATGTCCATGTCAACATGTTTGGTACGATGGTGTTGAATAGGAAAAGAAGATAAGTAAACCACACTGACATTGTCGCAAAAGACGATAGTGGCATCCCGAAGGGGACAATGAGGTTCAAGTAGAAGGTTGCGAAGCCATGAAAGCCTCGGCAACAGCATTTGCCACCCCGCGATAATTTGCCTCGGCACTTGAGCGGGAGAGAGTGGGTTGTCTTTTTGAAGACCAAGAGATAACATTGTCACCTAAAAATAAACAGTATCCAGAGGTAGAACGATGAGTCTCTGGACATCCACCCCAATCTGCATCAAAATATGCCACCAGGCTAGAAAGAGACGAAGCAGAGAGATGGAGACCATAGTCAAGGGTTCCACTTATATACCGCAAAATGCGTTTCATAGCCTGGAAATGGAGTTCACGTGGAGCGTGCACGTAGAGGCAAATTTGTTGTACCGCGTAACTAATATTTAGACGAGTGAAAGTGAGGTATTGTAGAGCACCAACAAGTCTACGGTATAGAGTCGGGTCAGATACGAGTGTACCGTCATGGACACTAAGTTTAGCCTTAGTGTCGACAAGTGTAATAGCTGCCCGGCAATTGCTCATCCCAGCACGCTCATAAGTAGACACAGAAATATTTGAGACAATAATATATTTAAAGAGTTGACCTAAAACCAGAGGAGCATAGAAGATGTTATTCATTGCAGAACCTTAATTGGTTTGTCACCCAATTTCCTCATGAGAATTATTTTCAGTCTACCCCCAACTAGTTTGAGATGAAAGCTTGTTATCGTAGTTTTGGTGGTGGCAAAGGAGCTCTCTCCCTCTCTCTCTCTCTCTCTCTATATCTATATATATATATATATATATATCCATCCCATGTTATAAAAATGATATTGAGAAGAAAAGAAGATAAAGGCACCATACTAACATATACATTTCGAGTTATCAACAATATTAAGCATCTGTATAATAACACATAACTTATACAATTGGTGCTAACCTAAATAATAGGTAATAAATATAGTATACTCCCTCCATCCCGTAAGAATTGCATCATGCAAATTTATAGAAATAGTTGAAAACTTGAAATACAAACGAGTTCCCTTGCATTTAACTCTACATTCAAATACCGTAAACTCTGTCGACCACAATAATCACCACCTTTTAATCATTGCTACATTAAAAAGATATAAATCGACTTTAAAACATCTCCAGAAAACCAAATACTGCAATTCTTGAAGAAACTAACAGAAAAAACATTGCAATTCTAGTGGGAAAAAGCTTGCATCTCTTTTAGTTTAGAAAGGATCACATAACATTCCACGCTTCTCTTGTATCAAGAAACAAATATTCATAGTTCTTCACCGGATAACTCTTGAAAGGAAATCACACCAGGCCTTAAAATCTAAAATTGAACAAAAAGAACATTAAACTTGGCCCAATCTTTTACTAAAAGAATTGACCGACAACATATACTTTAGATAGATATATACTTGTCTAGTATAGATATAGAAAATTTGAAATAAACACTCGAAGACTAAACAACTCTAATCTTTCTATTTTTGTGTTGGTGTGGTCATGACAACTACAATAATATTGATCTTTTATTTGGCATCAAGGACATATGGAATTCATCTATGATGATACTTTAGTAACATCGACAGTTACCCTATATATTTTGATATTGAAAAACATATTTTTGAGATTGACGATGATCATCCTTTTGTAGTAAATGTCAAAAGTGTTGAAATGAGTAAACCTAATTGCATCAGTCTTTAAAGAAAAGACTGGAAAGTATCATCTCAACGTCAGTGCATGTAAAACCTCAGTACCAGATGCCATAAGTATACCAAAGAACATGGAATGGTGCAGTTTTGACTTCTAAAACTGAAAAAGTAGAAGATTATTAAAAATAATACAAGTTGGCATATAGACTCACGGATATCTTTGAAGTTGTGCCAACAGTTATTATGTCTCCACTAGTTAGCTCCACCGGATCACCCCAATGTCTACTTCCAGTTTGAGGATGGTGGACTGTCTTGGAGTTCAAAAGAGTTCCATTTAAGCTACCCATGTCAACTAGCTCCCATTTCAACTTCTGAAATCATATACAACATAAAATTTGTGATTCAACCCAATAGTCAACCCAATAGCATCAGAACAGCAAAAATTAAAACTTAATTATTGGCATAGCACTAGACTCTTACATTCAGGTTCCAATTTATCATGGCATGCTTTCCTGACACTTCTGAATCTGTTACCAATACATCACTAGGCGAAACTCTTCCAAGAGTCAATGGGAGCTTAGATTTGTTTGTCGACTGTATAGAGTAATGTGCACCAGATGAAGGACCAGAAATAACCTTCAAGGTGAGGATGCTTCCTGCACTTCTAACAGAGATATATGATGACACGTCTTACAATTTCAACCAGCAAGATATGGAAATTTCACTTATAATAAGCTCTATGCAAGAGAAGGAGAAATTACTTTGATCTGCAGTAGATCTGGACATAAACTGCTTGGAGCTGTCATTCTCCAATCTGATTCCTGACTTGTAACTTAAATCTTCCTTTGTACTATATTTTTGTTCTCCAACAGAGTCATTAGCAAGCGATGGACGCTTCAGAGTTTGACCAACCACAACATCCTCATCAGAAATATCAAGAATAAGGCTGCCATCTGGAAAAAGTAAAATGATCAATTCTGTTTACTGTTAAAAACTCTATTTATCAAAAGCATACAAGGATCATGCTAGATACCGTGTGAGAAATGGGAAGGAGTGGGTGGAAGCTTATGTTTATAGGAAAGCCCATGGGTTCGAGATGAATTCTGATGCCCATCGTTTTGATGGCAGGAATCTTCTGAAGCAAAATTCGTAGCATGCTCGGTGATGTTGCTCTGAACTATATCCGAATCTTGAGAAACAAGAGGTCTTTCTACATCTAGGACCTAGACAGAGTAATGACCAAGTGTCAACAGAAAGATTTACGGTATCAGTATCATGAAAAACAATTTAGAATAAGAACTTTGACAGAGTTCAATATAGAATTTCTCAAGCACAACACTGGTAGCATTGTTGAAAGGTAATAGAAATTTTTATTTATTTTTTCCCTTAAAACAGATATATCATATACAGAATAAAAATAAAGAACACAGCCATATTGCAGAAATTGTATTTAAATTATTATGCCTTGCATATTACAATAAGCTAAATTCCTGGAGTAGCACTAACAAATTCAATATGATGCATCGGTTGGCTAAAAAGGAGGATGTGATGACCTCAATTCAGATTACTATAAACAGCATATCTTGTCCTAAACTCCAATGTTTACAATAGGCATAAAATAACCCACATAGGACTGTTAAATGAGCAGAACATATTCAATATGCAATACTGGTATTGAAGAACAAATTGACTAATAAGCAAACCTGTCCAATCAGATCTTAGGTGTGTGCTAACATATGAAACAGAACTATAAAGCTTGTGGACAGAAATACAACATGATTAACTCTTACATGTAAACCACTCCCACCCAAAGAAGAACATCTCACACTGAAGATATCATAAGAAGAGCTACATCGCTAAATGGATCTACACAGAAGATATCATATGGTGTGGAAGAAACTAATGTTCATGAGTCATAGGATAATAGCCCATAAATAAACTTGAGTGGGAAGAAACTAATGTTCATGAGTCATAGCCCATAAATTAATTTAAGGTTTCAGAACCATGTTGTGCTGGATGAGGAAGGATACTTTGAGTTTCTAACTCAAGTTACAATTGATGCTTTACCAGCTGTTTATCCCTCATATAGAAAACAAAACTACATAGAAACAAATGTATACATAATGCACTTTAATTGAAATCTCAGTTACTTGTACGGTAGTTAGTTTGGCTGTTTAGGTCAGATGATTCCACTGAGATGAACTAAGTTACAGCAACTGCCGTTATAAGGAATCATATCAACTTATATAGCTAATCAAAGAGAGTTGCTTCATTAAACTTCCAAAAGGAAGAAATAAGATCCATCTTACTTTGCTATCATATATTAAGGCATTCATTCCTTGTATTTTACAATAATCGTATGATAAACAAAGCACTCATATAACAAAAGTTGGAGAGAGGCTAATACATAGCAGAAATATTTGACAAAATGTATATATGAACAATAGACTAAATACTATCATATTATATGCTTTTGCATGTAAGGACAAACCAAATCAACTATCTACAAACATGGAGAATGTACACATTAGTTCAGCCATGATGCTCGATAAAGCAACTCATGTTTGATTCAATCCCTGAAATGATATTGAAGCAGAAGTCCTGTTTTCAAAGAGCATTACAAAAAACGAGTAAACGACAGACCAAGCTGCTTCTAGGAGTACAAACTTTCTCCATGTCATAAAATTTGTAGCACAGACACTGAATTAATGTTTGAAAATTTTAAATTCCTCAACAACGAGGCAATAATTTGTTGCTATCTCATGCAACTTCCAGTAAACTTCATGTTTTTTGGAGACAGATTCATATTACCCAGCATTTTTCTCTTTGTATTATCTTTCCCTTCATTCTTTTACAGTATTGTATAGTCCTCATGTTATGTTAATTACAACAGTCCAAGGTAAACAGAACTTCTATCTGCATCCGATGCACATTTCACTTTAATACCTAAAAAAGGCAATTATAAGTGAATCCATCCATCAACACATCACGTTCATGTATTTCCAGGTGCAATTTTTATTGCACCATGACTGTAAATGAGTATTATAGGGTCAGATTATACACCACCTCTTCTATATATATCATAATCTTCTTCTGGTATTTCAGTTTACAAGGTTTAATATGTGTATTAGCGTTGCGGTTCAGGGTCTGATAAACCCATCTTAGAGCAAGCCAAATAGAGAAAGATTCGAATGTGCTGAGTTGAATGGCAGATGGGATAAATATAAAATTCATCGAAAGTAAATCAAACCAATAATTGTGTCAAGAAACCCAGTCTCTATTACTAAACCTTGTTCAAAAGTTTTAAAATGTGCTTGCTTAATCAGGACCAAGTTTTAATGCTCAACAGTTTTACATAGATCAGTTATTGAATCATACACGATTGTCGAAGGTTTAAACCCCAACAATTGTCACCGGCTTTAACTTAAAATAATCAACATCTCAGTACGGGTAGATTTAGAATGAAAAGCAGAGACGATCAAAAACCCTAAGAACAGACACAATTAATGAGAGAGATATACGATGTGTAAAATAAATAATACGCGCATATAAGAATGCAATCGATCAAGGAGTATGATCAATATGACAACATATGAAGAAAGAAACATACATCGGAAGAGGTGGTAGCCTTGACGGTACGGGAACGGTAATTGCGAGAGAAAACGCGCCATGGTTTACAGGCGATGAGAATGATTATGAGGATCAGAAGCAACATAAGGAGAAGGAGGAGGACGAGGTATGGTAGTAGACCACCGTCGGCGGTGACAATGCCGTCTACTACTGCTACCGTCGGCAGCTTTGCCATCGGTTGGGTTGAGATGTCTTTGTGTCCGTAAGGAAGAGAGATAAAACTGAGCCAAACCTCCTACACCAGGGCGCAGGCCTTGCTTTGAAATGGACCTTTTTTTTAATATTTAATACCTCTGAAAAAACCCACCACCACCACCTAACAAAATTCTACAAAATCTATTCGAGATTGTTTATAAAAACCGTTTTTTAACTTATTTTAGTCTGACATCGGTGATAAGCTATTTTTTGGTGTTTGGATAAGAAAAAGAAAACTGTTTATACCGGTGTCAAACTGGTAATAAGCTGTTTTTGATAAGTTAATTATTCCTAACTTATGAAAAACTGCTTATTACCAGTTTACAATTTTAACCCTGTTTTATTTAACTCCGGTTTGATACCACATAAGTTAATAAGCACTTTTACAAAAACGCATAAGTTGTAAGCAATCACAAACACCCAATAACAGAAGATTTTGTTAAGCATCTTTTCCGAATATTAACGTTACATTTAGCAAAATATAGTTTATAAATGGGAGCGTAAATGATGCGAGTCAAGTTCGAGTATTGATATACTTGACTCGAATTTCTCTTGTAAAGTTTAAAACTTAAAGATATTTTCTTAATAACTAAAAGGATGCATCTCAAATTTTATTATCAAAGAGACAAAGTTACAAACTTCAGAATAGGGGTGTTCGCGGTCCGGTTTGGCCGGTTTAACCTCTCAGACCACAAACCAAACCGTAATGGCGGTTTATAAAATTTTCAAACCGAGCGGTTTGACATCAAGTGTCCAGACCAGTCAAACCAGACCATAAAAAGGCGGTCTGGTCTGACCGGTTTAGGCGGCTTGGGCCTTTGATGGACTTTAAATGTTAAACTAAAAAAACATATATAATTTATAATTTTAGATTAAATATCCATTTTGATTATGTTAGATGTTAGACTTTATGTTGAGCTTAGGGATATATTTGAACTGTAGTCCATAAGTTAAAAAAGTTGGACTTGCTAATATTAAAATAAATAATTAAATTATATATATATATATATGGCGGTCGGTTTGGTCCAAACCGCCCAAAAAATGTTCCAAACCGCAGACCGGATCGAACCGCCCGGTTTTACTATTTTCCAAACCAAACCAAACCGCCAGACCGCTTAAACCGCCAAAAACGGTCCGGTTTGACTTGGTTCGGCCGGTTTGAGCGGTCCAACGGTTTTTTTGAACACTCCTACTTCAAAAAGACAACTTTACAAACACTTTTATAGTTTTTTTATCTTTTTTTAAATTATGACCTTAATTAAAAAAAAATTGTTTAGTTTTTATGGTTAAATAAAACACAGTTTTGTTCAAAGATAAAAATAAAGACATTTTTATTATATTATATTTTATAAATTACATTATAAAACTAATTATATATAAAAAATCGAGTATATCACGAGCTTTTCGAGTCGAGTATTGTGTAGCTCGACTCGACTCGTTAATATGTCGAGTCGAGCTCGAGTAACTGGCGAGTTGTCTCGTATCATTTACATCATATTTTATATTTATAAGGTAAGTTAGTTGGTAGTTGACGAATAAATCATGTTTGATAACAACTAGTTAATGAACATGTAAAATTACAAAAAAGAACATCTTGAAAAATTAGTCAATTACAATATTTTATAATATAATTAAAATAAATATTTAACCATATAATATACTAGTACAAACAAGATAGTAAAAAAAATTAATAATACAATATGTTAAATTAATTATTATGTATTTTATAAATTTTGAATTTGTTAGAATAAATTTAAAAAAAAAATCTACATTAGTTTATAAATTACATATAATATGAATCTATACTATAGTATAAAACATTTGATAAAAATTCTTAAAAACCGTTTTTTTATGTATAAATTACTGTTTATTTATGTATATTACTTAAAATTCGAGATTACAATTAAATTGTGGTCTGAATAAACCAAAATAGAAGTTTTAAGAAAACGAATTACTAGAATATAACCAGAGCTTCTCTGGTTCTTTGTATTATTTTATAAAGATATATTTAAAAGGTTAAGACTTGAAAGAAAATATAACAAGTTAAAATTTTAAAAGACAGAGCTCAACTTCCATACTCGGACTCAGAGCTCGGACTCCACTCTTGGACACATAATTCAAACATAACCTTTAAAAACACAATTTTTATGATACAGAGCCTCTGTATAGTACATACAGGGCCTCTGGGTCATATAAATTTTGAAAACACTTGAAACTAGTCGCATAACCAATTTCTCGATACAGAGCCTCCGTATAGCACCTATAGAGACGAAATTCCCGAAACACTTAAAAAGGTTTCTCGCATAAACAAAGCCCTTCTGGTCTGTTCTAAGGACTTATCATAGCTCATCTGGTTCTGAGCACGTACTTGAAAAGATTTCTCATGTGGTTCCGAGCACGTACTACAGGTTCCAAGCACGTACTACAGGTTCCGAGCACGTACTACATGTTCTCTTTAACCTTTAAATCTCCAGAAAATAAACACATATCAACTGCACAAGTTTACCAACAGTTCCACACAAAATCTGAACCCTTAACAAGTTTAAAGATTGGATATTTAAAACAAAAACTCACCTTAAACATGACATAAATAATAACAGAACTACTTTAACTTCAAATTCCAAATTCCAGCTTCTAACTTTTTAGAATAAAGCTCTCACACTAATTCTCTCATTGCTTTCTTTTTCAACTTTTGAAGATAACTCTCTTCAAAAAGCATCCCCCTTTTTTATATTGCCCAAAAGAGGCGGTTTGGGGAAATTATTTTAAAAATCGCTTCTTCTTATCCATTCTAATAGAGGCGGTGTTGAGGATATATATTAAACTCTTTTTCCACGAATATCTTGCACATACATACATACACCTCTCCCAGTTCGGCATATTTATAATTTCCACATACACATACATCACCACAAGAGCATGTATGATAATCATGCATACATACATGCATATTTCGAAACTTCATGTATGTTAACAATATAAATCATGCATACACGTATGCATATTATCAATCTCATGCATACACATTTTCTCATGTATAAATATGCACATTTTCACATAATCAAATAATAATTACGTAAGGATTAGCTTAAGTGCATAACCTAAAACCCAGTTATCACACTATCCACCCCTCAAGAGAATTAAGTCCCGGAACTCATTTAACTGAACAACCACGGATATTTGGTTCTCATCTCTAATTTTAATTCCCAAGTTGCCTCTGAACTTTTATGATAGTGCCACTAAACTTTTACCAAACTGATTTCTTTATTTCACCTCACTCTGGTTTTTTGATCAGTGATGGCTTCTGGAGTCTCTACAAAATTCAGTTTACTATCCAATTTCACTTCTGGTAATGGTATTGCCAAACTTGGATCGGTCAAACACTTTCGTAGATTGGACAGATGGAAAGTGTTATGGATTAAACTAAGCTCTTCTAGTAACTCTAACTGGTATGCAACTGGCCCAATTCACTTGCCGATTCTGAATGACCCAATATACATTGGACTAAGCTTACCTCTCTTACCAAATTTGACCACACCTTTCAATAGAGAAACTTTTAACATCACATAGTCTCCTACCAGAAGTTCAATTGGTT